TCACACAATTATTTATCACAACCAGGTTATAAACATATTAATGTATTGTGACATAAAATAATACAGATGTATGATAAAATAAAAGTGAATAATGTGGTAGATATTTGGCAATGCAATGATAATTTCAATTATCAAACAATCAATAATAAATGTCTAAATGATCAATAAAATCTGGATAATGAGTATTGTAGTCAATCAAAATTATAACAATCACCAGCAGGGGTCGCATATACAATTTAAATGGCAGTTGTCTTTTAGAACATCACTTTAGCCATCTCAATGCTGGCTACTTACAACCATAATATATTTAACTGTTGCAATAATGTTCTAAATGTCTGCAAATTAAACTGATTACACTACAAATTAAATTACTTTTGGTGACAAACAATTACAAACTACCTCGGTCTAGCTATGCAACAATTTATATTAACCGAAATCAACAAATTAGCATCACTATTTAAATTAGTCTTAATTAACTGAATTAATTCCTTTCTGCTTTTAAGCTAAATTTACAGGTAAAGAGGCAATTCTGAAATATCTGAATTAACAAATTTGGAATATGCTAATAGTACAAGCAATTGCCTATGCTACTGTGTACTTTATTTGAACGTCAGTTTCAAATAAAGTAAACAGAAAATAATCTAAAATTAGGAATAAACAATTCAATTGTTTCCAAATATATTTTAGATAAAACAGAAATAAAAAAACTAAATATAGTTACCAGTACTGGTTGTTAGGAAATCCTTATACTTGGAAGATGGTTAAACACTGCGAGGCATGGAAGAAAGTTACTTTCAGATAGTCTTGGATTTTTTCTAAGTGTTACAGTAAGAAAGTTTCTTAGGTAAAGACATGGCAGTGTCTCTCAGAGACAAAAGGTCTCAGAGTTGTGTTTTTCAGAGAGTGTTAGTGTTCTTCCTCCAGATGGTAAAACCTCTCTAGGGAGTGTGTTTTATTACTAAGAATTTCTTATCTCATAATAACCACTCCTGTCCTTTTAAACTAGCCAATCAGAGTAAGGGGTGTTTCCTACGATAATGATTTTGTGACATCATCAACTTACAAAAATATTGAAATAAACACAGTTGTCACTGTAAATCTGGCATGCGTTTGATGGAGTGTAAAGTGCTCCTGAAGGTGTTAGGTTGCTGAGTGCCTTCTATGGTCAGTTAGTGAACATTCATATAAATAGTTTGAAGATCTGATGGTCTAGAAAAAATGGGGGCTGCTCCAGTGATACAGTAAAAGCGGAGGACAGCTGAAGAAAAAAAACAATGTCTGTCATCCAAGTGACTTCTTCTGGGCCATGAAAATGTAATTTTGACATGTGAGTTGGCTTTTTCTGATTTGGTTAGTTGATTGTGGAAAGGGTAGATGTGTTTTTGTGCAATTGCTTTGTGGAATGAGTTCAAGATTATTTGTTATGGTATTAACACACATTTATGGGTAATAATATAAATAGAAAGGTAGAGGACAACTACATAAGGATAGAAAGACGATTTGCTGGTACTTAATGGGTCCAGGCTTAATTACATATCTAAAGAGGTAAAAAAAAGCATGTCTGTAAAAAAAACAAAACAAGTCAAGGACAGGATTCCAAAAAAAACTAAGCATATTACTGTGGTCAAGGGCTATATATTGTTTATTTGATGACAGTTGTCTGGGATGTATTATTTTATTTTTGCTTTAAATAAATATATTTATATATATATATATATATATATATATATATATATATATATATATATATATATATATATATATATATATATATATATATATACACAGTGTGGTATGCCTGTGTCTGATGTCCTGGCCCATGCTTAATTATAACTTATGGGTGTTTTAATCTATTTTTAATTGAATTCTAAAGAATTATGAATGATACCAAGCATATAGAGTATTAATGAGACATTTGTATATTGTTTGCTATTATTTGTAAATTCATGGTTTTAAATCAAGAATGACATTTTTGAAATGGTAATATGTTGTGTAATTTTAAATATATAAACTCTGTGGTCTGTTGCTCATTTCCCTGTTTTGACTATACTTTCAATTCAACATTGATGATTTCTTTGTTCTTTGTTTCTGCAGGTAACACATGAGAAACAAACATTATCATTTATCACCAGACAAGAAACACATGTGGATAATCTGCATCCTGCTACCGTGTTGATTTATGATTATTATGAGCCAGGTATGTAACATTATCAACAACACCAAACAGCAATTATCTTCCAAATATGGTTATACAAAGACATGTCCGTATAGCCACAGAGATGTAAGTAAAGAAAATGAGAGCAAACATATGATATGAAAACAAACATATGATATGAAAACATACACAACTGATGACACACAATAAAAAGTGAAAATTCCTTCATTTTTCTCACATTATACAAACCATCTGTTATTACATCTGTTATTTGATAAACATTTCCCAAGTTTTGTAAGTACCCCGTTATCATCAGATGTCTGTCTGTCTGTCTATAAACGTATGTGTTTATTGAGTAATAAATGCATTTGATCTGCTCTCAAATTATTCTCTGTTCTTATTTCAGTGCATCACGCAGTGGTGGAATTTAATTCTCCTTGTAATAAAGGTAATAATTAATGTTCATAATAGTAGTTCATTGTACTTTTATATTTGTAGAAAATGGTTTGTGGTTCCCATCCAAAGGGACTATGTGTGTGTTTTCTTTCTATAATTCATGTTCATAACAAGGAAACAAATATCTATTGTAAAATCTACTGATTGTTGGTTCTTTGCGGTTTCCAACCAACTATCCTCTTTTTCTTTTGTAGCCTATGGTAATTGTCCATCAGATGCCTCTCACAGGAAGAATTGTGGGCATCCAACGATTGATAGTGAAGAATGCCTCCGGAGACATTGCTGTTATGATACAAGTGTCCCTCAAGTACCCTGGTGTTTCTTCCGTGAATTTTAGACAGGTCAGTTATTTCTTAAAGTAAATTTAAATATGAATGAATCAAATCTATGCATTGTGCTAAAAGAAATTCTCACAACTATAAAGTAAAAAATTTCCCTTTTATGATGTTGGGATAAATAGTGAATAGAGTATTGCTAACAGATATGCTAACACATTAAATGCATGTTAGCAGGAGAACCCACTTCTGAAATGTTTCATGCTTGCCTTTAGTGTGAAAGTAAACCTGTGGGAAGGAATGATGTACTACAGGCAAACTCTGTAGGAGAGCAGCTGTTACAGAGAAAGAATAATAGAAACATTCATTTTAATAGTTCACTCTGAACCAGATATAACAAATTAATTAGATTTACGACATGCTGGGAGAAGTTTCAACAGTTATGGAGAGCAAATTTAACAACACACTGGAAAAAAAGATGGGTATTCTCAACAGGCTACAAGGGTTATGTTAGTGAGTAAATATGTACATAGTTAATTGTGTAAAATAAACTGAGCCAGATAGAAAACTGTAAATTACATTGAGCCTGGCAGTTTTACTGTAAGGTGTCATGTTTTGTATTTCTGTGCTATTGCCGTTACAGTTTATATAAAACATTACAATATATTTTAGTACTGTTTCTCCTCCTTTCTTTATGCTCTGCAGACTGACTGAGATCTGGAAAGGGCAAAGCTTAAAACATTGATTAACAGGGAGAAAAAAAGTTACAAAAAAAAGTAGAAAAATTAGAAAAACTGTATAAAATGTGGGTTCTGTTTCCTACATTTAAATAAGAGTATAAAACCTGCATTCTTCAATCCTAACTATCTTTATATTATGCTTATTTATTTTAATACGAACTGAAATCCAATTAGTGTTACAACTCTGAGTTCTAGTTTTTATAAGAGATATTCTTTTTTTGTCTTTCAGAATAAAGATGAAACATTGGAGCTTAAGAAACTGAGTTTATATCATAATCTTCATGTGGCACCAGCACTGCATCTGTACAAGCAATTTATAATAGTTACTGATTGGTTGTATTTTAGCTCCATCAAAAAAACAAACTGATCCTATTTACTCCATGTACTTCATCAGATTGAACCAACATGATAATAAACACCTTAAAATTCTTTTTTTTTTTTGGTTTGGTTTTATTTGAATAAGACGGTTAAGTAGAGCTGGAACCAGAGTGATATAGTGTAGAAGAACATGGCAATAATCTGAAAAATACTAGTATACCACTGGCATAAGAAGTTTATTGCAATGGAATACGATTGATATAGAACTGAAATGAGAAAGATACTAAAATTACTATAATTTACAGATCTGCATTTACATAGCGCCAATATATTCAGCTGTGAGCATTAGAGTTACTGTTTAGTGGATGAGTGAGTGTGATGGATCTTGCATAAAGATTGCATAAATTGTCCCCAGCAGCACCCCATTTATACATGTTCAGGTGCGTGCAGGCCCTGGTTTCATATAATTTCATAATTATATATATAGTTAATACATTGCTAAACACACACATACACACGTATGTGTGTGTGTGTGTGTGTGTGTGTGTGTGTGTTGCTAAAATCCCAGAGTATTGCAGTATGCAATGATACAGTTTTTATTGGACTAACATAATATTTCAAAGACAAGCTTTCAATAGTTTTCCTCTCTTCCTTTGGTCTGTAGCAATACTGATCAATCTGATAGAGTTTAACACTTAAAACAACTAATGTTAGAAAAGGGGAGGGTGGGGGTGTCATAAATAGTCGAAGAAGTGCCTGAAAGTGAAAGATGCAGATTGGCTGAGAATAGCCAGAAAAAGTAAATATGTATACGCTAGTTAAAAAGAAAAAAAATGAACAAAAAACAGCAGAGCAGGGTATGAAAATATATAACTTCATATATGTATACATATATATAAATTGATCAAATTAAAATGAAGTGAGAGTACTGAAAAAGAACTATATAAGACATTAAGATGTGTGTTTATATACAATATTGGTAGTGTGTGAGAAAGCCAGTCTACATTAACTCCTTTATTTCTCATATTGAAATATGTGATCATTTTCATTTCAAATGTCTTTCGTTCACAAGAGTCTTTGAAATGCCCTTTAAGAACTTTAATCCTGAGGTTTTGTATGCAGTGATCAGTAAAACTTATCACAACTATGATATCACCAGTAAAGGTGCAGTTCTTGTGAAACAAAAGCAAAAATACAAATATGAACTCTTACTTTGGCGAAGGTTTGTGACTAAGTGAATACTAAAACGACTGGACATTTTACATACCCTGGGTTGTCTACTTTTTAAATGGTATGCCATGGTGGGGTTAATATTTATTTATCGGCTGTCATACAGTCTCAAACGCAACATGACCAATATGGCAAATTTCAATTTGCAAAAACAGAAATGGGCTAGTCTTATATTTGACCCTGTAACCTTCCAAAACACCATACAACCTGTACATGGGGAGTACTGTTGTACTTGCGAGACCTTACACTACACAATGTGAGTGTTTTAGAGTGTCAAAATGTATAATACTGCTTATATTAATGGTAAAAAGGCAGTTTATATGTTAAAAATGAAAAATAAAACAAATATGAATGCTAACTTTGGCCAGGACTTGTGACTAAATGCTACAAAAAAGACTGAACATACCCCATTTTGAATACTTTTGGTTGTCTATGTTGTGGATCAGAATGTTGATCTTTAGAGGAAGCCCAAATTGTTGTTACAAGTGCACTTGGGGAAGCAAGAATTAGACACCAGACACCTGTTGGTATTCCAAATAAGCCTCTGACGTTTTATTCATCAGCTGGGTTTTATACATTAAAAAGTAAGTGCTTACGTGCAAATACTCTTAGAACAGTAATAGGAAGAGAGTACAGATAAGACATAGGGATGAGCGTCATGTACACATAACAAATAAGTTTCAAGGTAAGAGAGAACAAAATGATTAGAGCAGAGACATCTTAGGTGGGGGTTCTCTGCTCCCGGAACTTAGACATATATGGTCTTAAGTGTTGTTTAAGCATCAAGCATTTCCTGAGTCAAAGTTAGACAATTTTAATATAGGATATCATTATATGACACCTATAAGCTTGAGCCTTGGAATCAAGATAAATTCTATCACAATCCCCTCTTTTGATCCAAGGGTCACCCAAATGTCCAAGGTATATCCAGGCCTGCTAGCCAAAGCCTATGGGACTTTCATTTATTGCTTCACCACGGTTCCCTTGGACTGAGAGACCACCAGAATCAGCAGAGGGAAGTTCCTTCATTTGTTAGGCGAGGTAACATCATAAAACCTTTTCTGAAGTCGGAGCTGGAATGTAAGTTAAGGTACGATGAATAGTAGGTTTGCTTTTACATAGAGAGGTTAGTAGACATGAAAAAAATCTAAAGGTTAAAAAAATAGCCATAATGACAAATACAGCTAATAGCAAAAAGTACAAAATCTTCTTAATTAGTAAAGTTAACCATGTTCCTAGCCCAAATGTCCAATAAGGGTGTTTTAACATCTCTCCTGTCTCTCAGCAGTTTGTGTAGCTGGGTGGTTTTAGTGATCAGGTCAGATTTGGAAAACATGGTCATGGTTAGGTGAAAGATTGCACAGGGACCTCCTGTGGTGTTACCTGGGACATAAGCATAAGTAATATTTCCACAGGAGAAAGTCCATCCTTTAGGAAGATAGACATTGTAGTGGTAACTCATAACTTGGTGAGTTTTGGTACAATTCATAGTGGTGCTTAGGGCTCTACAATTCGTGGTATTTTTCCACCATGTGGGGCAAAACAGGGATTCAGTATTAGGGTCTCTTGAACAATTACATGAAAAAGACAGGCGCTGAAAAGAAATAGTTCAGCGCCTGTCACATTAATTGTCTTCAGGGCTAGAGGAGGCTTGCCTACGAGTGGGTTGAATGCATAAGAATATAGTTGTAGAGATTTATGGGGTCTGTGGGTATGTAGGTACTTCCTTAACAGTGAGATGGGGGTAGGGACAGCTATAAGACAAGATTCTGTGGCGTTTTCAGTACTGAGGAGAGGGTTGAGGCAAAACGAGGTTAAATTAAAAGCCTTTGCTATCTGCAACCATATATTTTCCTGCCATGCATTATTATTTTCTGGTCTCAAGTCAGAGTAGCATATCCGAACAGAGCATAAAATGGTAAAGGATAAGAACAGCTTCATGTTGGTGGATCAGTTGGAGTGACTTGTTTACAGTGACTGGCGTGTATCCACGTGGCTTTTCCTTCTAGTTTCACTGAGGTAGCCATAGTCAAGAGTACTTGGAAAGGACCGTCAAAGCGTGGTTCAGTCCTTTCCTCACATGCCTCTTTATCACCACCCAATCACCAAGTTGCAGTTTGTGAGTTGCAGAATCAGAGTCTGGATCTGGAATAGAATCAAAGACTTGTTTATGCACCCTGCCTAATCTTTGGTGTAGGGCCTGAACATAGGCAGTCTTACTACCATGCTGCATCTGGAGGGTTTGGGGAAAATAGAGGCCTGTCTTAGGGGCACATCCAAACAGGATCTCAAAAGGAATGTCTGGAATTGGGGGTGAATCTCATAGAAAAGGGTGCTAGGGGAAGGCATTCAGTCCAGGGCTTCCCTGTGTCTTGCATGGCTTTTGCAATCTTGTTCTTTAAGGTGCCATTTGCCCTTTCTACTTTCCCACTACTCTGGGGGTGATATGGTGTGTGGAAGGCCTGACTGATCCCTAAGGCTTTCATAATTTCTTGCATTATTTCCCCAGTGAAATGGCTACCTCTGTCACTTTCAATCACTTCAGGTACTCCATATCTACATACCAGTTCCTTCAGAAGCTTACTTGCTGTGACCTTCGTTGTGGCTTTCGACACTGGGTAGGCCTCAGGCCAACCTGAATAGAGATCAATGCACACCAACACATATTCATACACTCCTACCTTAGGTAGTTGAATATAGTCTATCTGCAGTCTTTGAAATGGGTAAAGTGGCCTTGGTGTGTGCTTACTTGGTGTTTTCACAGCTTGTCCTGGTTTGTTTCTAGCACAAATCATGCAAGCTTGGGTGTGTTTAGCTGCTACAACAGTAAATCCGGGTGCTACACAATGGGTGTTTACTAAACTGCCCATGTGCATCTTGGATAGATGTGTAGGTCCATGGGCAATCTAGGCCATCCTGGGGTACAACACTCGTGGTAAACACAGTCTTTTACCTTTCCTCCACATTCTGTCATCATCAGGTTCTGCATCTTGTTTCCTCCAGAGGTCATGTTCTTCCTTGCTTGCCTGTCTTTGTAAGCTCAACAGTATATTGTAGTCAACAGCGTCATCTGTAAGAACAACTTGTACGAAGGTATTACCTGTAGAGGGATGAACTTGGATTGCTGCTTGCTTGGCAGCTTCATCTGCTTTGTGGTTTCCTCTTGAGATTTCATCTGTAATCTTCTGGTGAGCTGCCACCTTGATGATGCCTACTTGAGTGGGTAGCAGGATAGCGTCCATAAGTGCACTCACAGCTTCAGAGTTCTTGATTGGAGTTCCTGCTGAGGTGAGAAAATCATGTGCCCGCCATATAGGGCCAAAATCATGGGCTATACCAAAAGCATAGCGAGAGTCTGTATAAATATTAGCAGTTTTACCAGAAGACATTTTACACGCTTCAGCAAGTGCCTTCAGCTCTGCCTCCTGTGCAGAGCAGTGAGGAGCGAGTGGTTCAGCTTTTATTACCTCGTGTGCAGAGACTACAGCATATCCAGTGTGGAAATTACCCTTCTCATCAGCATATCTGGAACCATCTACAAAAACCTCAAAATCTGCATTAGATAATGGAGAATCAAATACATGCAAAAAAACTGCTGTCTCTTGTGCCATTAGTGCTGCACAATCATGGGGTACCTGGGCATCAGCTAACTCATCTGGTGAAAGTGAATTTACAAAAAGATCAGAAGTACAAGTACCATTCACACTATCCCCACTCCCCTCTTTTAAATCCAGGGGAAGCAATGAAGATGGATTTAACACCATACACCTTTTAAGAGTAACATTAGGTGGCATAAGCAAGGCACATTGCATTCTGAGATGCCTTGCAGTATGTATGTGTTTTGGTTTAACTTGTGAGAGTCTGCTGTTGATATCATGCGGTGTGTATATGGTCACCGGATTATCTAAAACAATATCA